TATCGAGTTCTAACAAAATAATTAATTATTATCTTTATAAAAAATTATATTATTAAACCAAATAAAAATTACTTTGTTATTGTACCTAAATTAAATTATAATAAAAAATTGAATTAAAAAATTACACAAAAAATGAAGAATTTTAAAAAGTTAGTTTGATACGAATATCGATATATTTTTTGTTTTGCATAAAGTACTGTATATTGATGCATGTTACTTAAAATTCAAGATTACAAGTAATTATGCATAAGTATAACTTATTAAAGTTCGATGTTTGAATTTGTATAAATAASTGTGGATAAACATAATCAAATAGATGATTAACATCTCATTTTAAAATATAAAAAATYTAAAATATAATTAGAATAATTATCGAGTTCCAACAAAATAAATAATTAATATCTTTATAAAACAATTATATTATTAAACCAAATATAAATTATTTCATTATTGTACATAAATTGAATTATAAAAAAAATTGTATTAAAAAATTACACAAAAAAATGAGGAATTTCAAATAGTTAATTTGATACTAATATCGATATATTTTTGTCAAATTTTATTGATATCTTCAAACATATATTTTATTCAAAAATAAAAACATCATCGATTTTCTCAAAATCACATAAAGTCATATTATAACATCGATTGAGATAAAGAATAAAATGAAATATTAAAATCACGATGTATCTCGCTGCATTGCGCGAATACGCTTCTAGTATTTCTTAATTATAATAAAAAAATTTAGTATGCTCACCGGGAGCTTTTGAAAATAGTTTAAGAAAAAAAAGTAATGAGAACAAACTATAAAAACGAAATGACTTGCCATTTATTTTTACCCCCTTCAACTTACATATTATTACAAATGAGCCCTTGATATTTGCTAGATTTATAAAAAGACCCCTTAGAAATTGATTACAAAACTCATTGTGCCTCCTTTGCACCGTCTACATTCAACCTCACAACCGTCTATGCTTACGTGTATGACAACTCACTATCATCCACTAAACAATGGACGCGTGTCCATCTATAAATATTTGGGACCCACGCTCTTCCTTCATTAATCTCTTTGCCTAAATAAAGTCTCATGTATTTTTCTCTGTCTGAGAAGAATATCAGTCTTTAAGTGAGAGAGAGAGAGAGAGAGAGAGAGAGAGAGAACCTAGAGAGAAAAAAGAACGCTGTCGCACGGCTGCCGGAATCCCCATCTCCGCCTTTGCTGTTTACTTTTCCGGTAAAGAAAAGCACTTGAAATTCTCGTTTGGCATTTTCTCCGGTGACTTCGGCCGCGGTTTTGTTGTTTCTTTTGGGTAAAACTTTACTTGTAACCTGAATCCTCTTAACATTCATCTTATTCCGCCGACTTCGCTTGCTATTTCTTTCCGTTAGCAAAGTAAAATTGTTAACGGAACTCAGACAGTAGCGTATGCTATTTGTATAAAGTAAAGTTGATTTCATTTTTCCCGGTGTATCATCGCTAAAATGCGGTGAGTTTGTTAGGTTCTATTAGCAATTGTGTTGTCTGTTGTGAAGCTCAGGCTCTTGAAATGAGAAAGGCGCTTGGTATTTGTATTTTTTTGCTATTGGCTCCTGTAATTATTGTTCAATCTTTGAATCCAACTCTGGATGATGATGTGCTGGGCTTGATTGTATTCAAGGCAGACCTTCAAGATCCAGATGGGAAATTGGCTTCTTGGAACGAAGATGATGATAGTCCTTGTAAATGGAAAGGTATTAGGTGTAACCCTAGATCTAACAGGGTGTCTGACCTTGTTCTCGATGGCTTTGGGCTATCTGGAAGGATGGGTCGAGGCCTGATGCAGTTAAAGTTTCTCAGTAAGTTATCATTGGCTAGGAACAATCTTACTGGAAGCATAGGAGTCAATCTAGCCCAACTTGCTAACCTTCGGGTGATTGACTTGAGTGAAAACGGTTTGTCTGGACCAGTTCCTCCTAATTTTTTCGATCAATGTGGATCCTTAAGGTCAATATCCTTGGCCAATAACAGATTTTCAGGCCAAATTCCAGATAGTTTGGTTTCGTGTTCAGCTCTTGGTGCCCTCAACTTTTCATCCAACCAGTTTTCAGGCCTATTACCCTCAGGTATCTGGTCCTTGCATGGACTTAGATCACTAGATCTTTCTGATAATCTTTTGAAGGGTGAGATTCCTAAGGACATTGAAGGTTTGTATAACCTGAGGGAAATTAAGTTAAGAAAGAACCAGTTTACTGGTTCGGTTCCAGATGAAATTGGAGCTTGTGCGCTGTTGAGATCAGTTGATTTTAGCGAAAACTTGTTTTCTGGGCTTCTGCCAAGCACATTGCAGAAACTTTCTTTGTGTAATGATCTAAATTTTCACAGCAATCAGTTCACTGGTGAGGTCACTGAATGGATAGGGGAAATGGGAAGCCTTCAGACTGTTGATCTTTCTAAGAATATGTTTTCTGGTGCTGTACCAAATGCTATTGGTAATATTCAGTCATTGAAAGTACTGAATATTTCGAACAATGGCTTCTCTGGGAGCTTGCCAGCTTCGCTGATCAATTGTAAAAGCATTCAGAGCTTGGATGTGAGTCGGAATTCATTAACAGGGTCTCTTCCTACCTGGGTGTTCCAATTGGGGCTACAAAGTGTTCTCTTTTCAGAGAATAAGCTGACTGGTAGCATCTATGGTGCTGTTACTTCTGCCATTGGAATCTCACATGAGAATCTTCAATTTCTTGATATATCCCACAATGCATTGTCTGGTGAAATCCCTTCTGATATTGGGAGCTTTAGCAGCCTACGGTTATTGAACATATCCAAGAATTCACTGATAGGTGAAATTCCAGAAGCTATGGGCAAGCTAAAGGCTTTGGATAGTCTTGATTTGAGTGAAAACCAGTTGAATGGAAGCATTCCTTCACAAATAGGAGGAGCACGTAATCTGAAGGATCTCATACTAGCACGAAATTCCCTTTCTGGCAGCATTCCAAGTTCCATCGGAACCTGTTCATCCCTGACTTCATTGTAAGATTTCTCCTATTCCCTGTGTTCCAAATTTCCATTAACCTTTTGTTCTTTATTGATCTTTACATAAGCATTGTGAGTATTTCAACCCTTTTCTTTTAAGAGAGTAGATCATTTTCCCACATTATTTGCAAAGAATGATGGGCTAAATAAATCTATGATTTTTGCAGGATATTATCAAGAAACAACCTCTCTGGGCAAGTTCCTGTAGCAATGGCAAAACTCACTGATCTTCAGTTTGTAGATTTGTCTTTTAACAAACTCACCGGAACCCTACCTAAGCCATTAGCAAATCTTGTCCATCTTGTTTCCTTCAATGTTTCACACAATCAACTACAAGGCGAATTACCAGCCGGTGCTTTCTTCAACACCATATCTCCATCCTCTGTTTCCGGCAATCCTACTCTTTGTGGTGCTGCAGTGAATAAAAGTTGCCCTGCGGTGCTTCCCAAGCCGATTGTACTGAACCCCAACTCAACTGGAACAGATCCTGACTCGATCCCTCCAACTCTTGGACATAAGAGAATACTTCTTAGCATTTCGGCTCTCATTGCCATTGGTGCAGCTGCTGTGATTGTGATTGGAATAATCTTCATCACCGTTCTCAATCTTCGAGTCCGTTCTTCCATGTCCCGGTCGGCAGCAGCTGTTCCATTATCCGGTGGTGACTTTAGCAGCTCTCCCACTACAGACACGAATTCGGGGAAGCTGGTTATGTTTTCCGGTGATCCTGACTTCAGCACAGGAGCACATGCCCTTTTAAACAAGGATTGTGAGCTTGGGCGTGGTGGGTTTGGAGCAGTTTACCGAACTGTTCTCGGAGATGGCCGATCGGTGGCTATCAAGAAACTCACAGTCTCGAGCCTTGTCAAGTCTCAAGATGATTTTGAGAGGGAGGTTAAGAAACTGGGAAAGATTCATCACCCAAATCTTGTAGCTCTTGAAGGGTACTATTGGACTCCATCTCTGCAACTCCTGATCTACGAATACGTGTCTGGTGGAAATCTGTACAAGCATCTTCACGAAGAAGATGAAGATGGACGCAGAAGTTCCCTCACGTGGAACGAAAGATTCAATATCATTCTCGGGATAGCTAAAAGCTTGGCTCACTTGCACCAGCTTAACGTCATACACTACAATCTCAAGTCCAGCAACATCTTGATCGACGGTTTGGGTGAGCCAAAAGTTGCGGATTTCGGGCTAGCAAGACTTCTACCGATGCTAGACCGTTACGTTTTAAGCAGCAAGATACAGAGCGCCCTTGGATATATGGCACCAGAGTTTGCTTGCAAAACGGTGAAGATCACGGAGAAATGCGATGTTTATGGATTCGGGGTGTTGGTTCTTGAGATTGTGACTGGGAGGAGGCCGGTGGAGTACATGGAAGACGATGTGGTAATACTTTGCGATATGGTTCGTGGCTCCTTGGAAGAAGGAAGGGTGGATGAATGCATCGATGAAAGGCTTCAGGGGAAGTTTCCGGCGGAGGAAGCAATTCCGGTGATGAAATTGGGGTTAATCTGCACATCACAAGTGCCTTCAAACCGGCCTGACATGGCGGAAGTCATCAACATATTGGGGCTTATCAAATGCCCGTCGGAAGGCCAGGAGGAATCGGGATAAATAGCTGCTATTATGTAACCTTTAAATCCAAAAATGATGATGGATGATTGGTTTTCCGGCGAAGAGGAATCCGGTTAGTATTATTTTTTACCTTCACGCAGAGATAAGATTCTTTTGGTTATGTTGTTTCCTGATTATATCTCTCTGTTAGCGTTAAGTTACCGGATTCCTTTTCACCGGATGCAAATTCTGGACCATTTTAGATCGGAGATTTATTGAAACCTATCCTTCTTCCATTTGTTATCACGCTTATGTTTCTTGTGTAGTTTTTTAGCAGTTTTGTAGACTAATTGTACCAGATATTATCTGCTTTGTCTATACTTTTAAAACCAGAAACGATAAACAATCCTTTTTACCTCCAATCGACGGAGGATCTTACAATTTTACCGATCTTTGTTTATTTTATTTTGGTGGGTATGAATTTTCTTGAAATAAATTGGACCATAAAATAGAAATATTAAAAAAAAAAGACATAAAATAGTTCAATTATTATATAAGATGAAAGTCAAAAAGTGAACTCGATAAATGTCTAAGATTCTTGGCACCCACTTTGAAGCAAAAAATAAAAAATAATTCGATAAGTGATGAATAAAGTAATGGAAAGTGAAACAAGACGCAATAAACAAAGTGGGAAACTCGAGTGTATAAAAAGCTCCTCTTTTATTTTTATAAATTCAAAATAAAATTCGTACATTATGCATTAAATGTCGTAAATTAAACAGACTTGTAAATTTTTGTTATACTTGTACAAACGAGGATGTTTATGGCTTAAATACGTTGATCATGTTCTTGTAACAGAAGTTCTTGATACAGGCAAACAGGGACGGATCTATGCTTGCACTGAATTTAACCTTCAAAAGTAAGAATAAAATATAAGTTCAGTCGTATCTCTGACGCTCATATGTAAATATCATCGTCGGAGGTTTTGAATCTGTCATTGGGGAAAAGTGTTGTTATATTTTGCAAGATGTGATTTGGTAAGACAAAGAAAATGTATAATTATGATGAAGAGCATCTTAAAACCATGTGCAAAAGCTAGTTAAAATGAGTTGTCCCTTCCCTCCAAATCCACTTAATAAAGAGGGTGATTGAGGGACCATATTGTCATTTTCATGATCAACCACCACATGTGTTTTGAATAAATTTGGTTATCTTTCTGGTCTCCAGATATGAGCCACCCTATAGGTGCACTATCATTAGACACCCACCATCTTTGCATGAAACCCTCCAAAATTTTATGATAATAAAACAACTAATTTTTCAATTTTTATATTAATAAAAATAAAACATACTTATACCACTTGTATTTTTATTTGTCGGGGTTAAAGGGGTGTTTGAGATTGCTTATAAAAACAACTTATTGATTTATTTCGGTGTGACACCGGTAATAAGCACTTTTGAGGGTTTGGATAAACAAATTATACCGGTAATAAAAAGTTTTTAAAGAAGTTAAATCATTCTAACTTATAATAAGTTGATAAAAACTTTTGTAGAAAAATATAAGTTGTTTCAAATAAGCAATCCCAAACACCCCCCTAAATTTGGAACACTTTTTTTTTCTTCATAATATATATTAATCACATGGACGAACCCAACATGGTACCATCGTATTATTCCTCCATCGAAGGATTAAAAATTTCAGATTCATAAAAGTTGCAACCGTAGTTTGTTAGTGACACCGTATGTATTTCAAAACTACAACGAAAACAAATTTTCTTCGGTAGAGTTGGTTTACAAGGTTTTTCTTCCACCCTAGACATGAGTTCGAATCCTGTTAGTATCATTTTCTTAGTCAAACGGTGCCACCATTTGAATTTTCCCCCTATATTTGTTTCTTATAGTCAAATAGTGTCACCGTTTGAAACTTTTTTCCTATATTTATTTCATATAGTCAAATGGTGCCACCGTTTGATTTTCTTTTGAGTTCGTACTTGATTAATAATTTTCTGAAAACTAATCTGCTTGAGTTCCATAAATCTTCATATGATATTAAAAACAATATCTATCATTTTGAGAGACTCGACATTTTGGAGCATTGGTATCCGTCTAACCTTCGTTGAAAGATTGTTACCTCGGCTAGATCTAGACCATTCTTCTCATTATATACTGGAACCCTATTTCACTCATGGATTTCTAGATATCCTAACATTACTCATTCACAGTCAATATAAGGATATTCTTATCAAGCTGTATATTAAGGTAAAACTTTAAAAGTTAAAGGTTGATCTAGTAGCTAACAGATAAGGCTTGAGACTTTTCGGTCGGCCTACACGTACCATCAACTTTTACAAAGTATATGTTCACGAATCAAAAAACTTGCATATTGTCCTATAAATTGCCCGATCTACGTGGAAAAACGCTTTGTATGAATCGATTAGTAGATAACAACAAAAAATGGCAAGATTAGAGTTGTTAAAAAACATTATATGACATTATTCTTTGCGCAAAGTTCTATTACTATTAATGGGTGGCTCCGTGATTTCTTGCTTTGAGAAAACGTTATATGCAAAGTTAAAATTCACTACAAGAATCAAAAATAACTTTCTATTCAAATTTAAATAAATCCAAAGTTAGCAATAGTTTATCAAATGTTTACTGGGTAAACATTTACCAGTAAGAGATATCACCTTCACTACTTTACCATGTGACATTATTGGCCATAAACATATATTGTTTGTAAGCATCTTAAACTCAGTAAGCACTTACTGATTAAGAGTTGTTTTTCATATTTATCGAGTAAGATTTTTAGTCCTTGTCATGTTCAATCTGTAAAGTAAGTGATATCTGTAAATACTTATTTGATAAACGTTAACAAATAACACATAAGTTGTTCTCGATGTGTAATACAAATTATTATAACGTTTTTGTCTCGTTTTCATCGGCAAATAAGTGGAGAGTGGTGAAGATATTATGTATAATGTATTCCTCAAAGTGTGTGCATGTTTAGGACAAATTACAAGTGTTTTTATTAAGTAAATAAATATGATTTAAAAATAGTAATTAAGAGTGGGTGGAAATTGAGGAACTTGCAAAATTTCCGACCAAAAGAGGATATTTGGATAATCGAGTAATTAATGCACCATGAATGCCCATGAGCGTGGAGTCAATACTCTACCAGTCACGGCTGCCAATGGATGGCTAAGCCCAGCTTTTTTCAACTTTCTGGTATTTTTTTTTACCCATGCAGATATGTCTCATTCGGCTAATGGCTAGCCACTAGCCACATGCACATCGTTCAAACAAAAGATAAAACATACATTATTTTGAAATATATATATATTTCAAATAATCGTTTGGATATATATAAATTAATTTATAAAAGCATTTTTAAACAGTTTTTTAAAATAGAAAAAATGAAGAAAATTAGGATTTTAAGTCTATATTGAACTAAAACTGATTTTTCAAAGCTATTTTCAAAATGAAGAAAGTAGGAGAGATAAATTTTTTTTCTCCAAATACAGAGATCACCCCAAAAATATATCAAGTGGGGAGCACCAATAGAAAACTTTAAAAATAAATATTTACAGAGAAAAATAATATTTAAGTAGTTGAATTAAATATTTTAATATTATAATTAATGTTGGATTATTTAAAATGAGGAATATGTTAAAGATGATTGTAAATTTTAACTTTTTATTCTCTATTTTAGAAAATTATTGGTGAATCTATTGGATTTGCTCAAAATTAACTTATTGATAGAATATTTAAAATAGTTTACGAAAAGATTTTTAACACTTTTTTCAAATATAACTCTGTACCTATTTCATTCGATGTTGCAGGGCAGGGGCTCGACCGATTCGACCGACTTTTCCTTTTGGATAACAAGCAGACGAGTTTCTCTGTTTCGATCAAATCAAAAAGTCCAATAGCCACCAACTCGGTGCAGGTCACATGACCTACAACTTAATATTAGTTTATTAATTATTATTAATAATTATAAATAAATATTAACTATTAACTATTAATATTAATTATTCATTAATATAAGTTTTTATTAATTAAAAGTTACTAATTAATTTTAATTATATAATAGATACTAATAATAATTATTAATTATTCACAAACATTATAAGGGAAAAGTGGTAAACATTTGAGAAGTAAATAAGTGATCATATTCTTTCTAGTCAACATTTGTGTTTTTGATCGTAAAGTACCGGATAATTTCTCGCATGAGTATACGGAAGATAGAGAGGTAATTTCGTAACTTTTACAAATAGACATCAAACATGTAAATCAGTTAATTAGTTCATATGTGAATCGCACGAGTTTATATGTTATGTAGTTAAACTAGTTCACATATAGTTCATATGTGAATCATATAGAGTTCATATATAAATTCGTTTGCCGCATATTTGTAAAAGTTACTAAACTATCATCTCTATTTTTCGCATAGCAACAATTTTGACCAGTCAAAGCCTTAATTGTTGTTCAATCAAATCCAATTTAAACCGTATGAAAGGTATGATCACTTATTTACTTCTCAAATATTTACCATTTCTGCAAATAGCATTTGGCAACTTTATTAACTATATCAATAATTTTTTTTAATTATTATTTAATATATTTAGATATCATAAAGTAAATCTAACAATTCTTAAAATGTTTTAAATTACATAAAAATTAAAATTATACTTATTTCATTTATAGATAATTAAAATATGTTAAATAATTTTAATAAAATATTAATTTAATTATTAATTATATATTTTTTAAAATTAATTAATCAGGATATGTGAAGTTGATCAATTTTATTGTTATTCATACTATATATAATTGATTATTTAAAAATCATAGATTAAGGGGATGTTTATCAAACACTTATCCGACAAGTACTTATCGGTAAAATTTAACACTATTATTTACTTATTGGGTAAGATTTTAGTCAAATAAAACGGCATCACATGCAACAATTTACCCGGTAAGCGCTTACTGTGGTAAGAGTCGTCGCCCTCACTTACCAGGTAAGACTTTTGGTTCTTATCTCACTCTTACCGGGTAAGATTCTTGGTTCTTACCATATTCATCCGGTGAGTTAATGTTACTTGGTAAGCGTTTACCCGGATAAACGTTTGGTAAACGGCCCCTAAGGTAAATTTTTTTCTAAAATTTATTTTAACAAATTAAAAATTTATAGTATATATATAATAATTAATTTTAAATTCTTTCAATTAATATATTATATTATATTATTTAATTTTTGTTTACTATCTTGTTTGTATTAATTAACATATTATATTATTATAAATTTATTTGAATCATATTATAATTTTTTTGCAATTGACTATTTTTTACAAGATACCCTTGAAGTATAAATCGGATATAAATCTCCCCAAATCCTAAACAAGACTTTATGGTACAAATCGGTGTACAATGTTTTATTTGTGATATAAAAATTAAAACAAAAAGCCTTTGACCTAGCGGTATTGTAGTCTTTGGCCTTCTAGGAAGTCAAGAGTTTAAACTTCACAAAAGCTGCAAAGAATGTATGAATCCATTTGTTACATTTATCGTATACAAATATTATATATACTTGAAAAGGAAAAAAAAGCAAAAGGTGGAAAAGGATTGGTTAGAATACATAAAAGGAAAATGGAAAGAATAGAAAAAAGCAGCATATGCAATGTGTAATGAAGAGAAAGTGTGCAAGAAACATCATCCCCATCCCCATCTCCATACTTTAACTTTTTTTTTTCTTCAAGACAATTATCAACACCATCTTCCTTTTTTCACCTTTTGCAGTGGAATCTGGGATTGCTTTGATTCTTTCTTGGAATTGGAATTGGAATTGGAATTGGAATTTGAAGGACAACTTTTTATTTAATTACATAAAACACCCACTTCATCCTCATGCACATCAACCATACAAGCCTTGATTCCAAAGGGTAGATATGGCATTCTACATGTCCTTCCTTCCACCAACTAACAGAAACTACCCTTTCTGTCAGTGATCCCATACCATTACATCAACCTTGGAATTAATAGCCAGAAATGTCATTATCTAATAGTTGAAGGGGGTCAAGTGAAATGTTTTATAGCCTTTAAGCAGCTGTTTATCTCTTCTCACAAGTGTATCACAATTATTCTCCAATTTTACTTTCTATTTGCAAGAAACTTCAAATTTCTTCTTGATGTTAGGTCTTTTTTTTCTTCTTTTGTAGGGGTGTTTGGGATTGCTTATAAAAATAACTTATTGACTTATTGCGGTATGACATTGGTAATAAGCACTTTTGAGTGTTTGGATAAAATAACTTATACCGGTGCCAAACCGGTAATAAGAAGTTTTTGAAGAAGTTAAACCCTTCTGACTTATAATAAGTTGATAAATGCTTTTATAGAAAAGAATAAGTTGTTTCAAATAGGCAATCCCAAACACCCCCTTAGTATAAAAGGTCAATTAACGGGTAATAGTGACAAATGGTCGTTCACCTATGCATTTTTAGAGTTGCTATATGTGACAATCTGACCAACCCAACTCACATGGGTTGAACTGAGTTGTCGTTTAAATATCTTTTAACAGGTTGTGACTTTTAAGCCTCATTAGTTAGATTGGATTGTTCAAACGCCTTCAAACCTGTCAACCCAATCCGTGTGGAGCCTTATAAACTAAGCCATCCACATCTCATTGTACAACGCGGTTTTGAACTTTCAAAGTGAGGTTTGTGGCTTGCACTTTCTATCAAATCGCACTTTGTAGTACAATTTATGGTTTTGAATAATGAAATCACGATTGAATCGCTTCGTATATTTTTCTATACGAAACTAGTCTCGGGGATTTCTTATCTCATCCATTTATACAAGAAAAGAACACCAGTACTAAGACAAAAACCCAAGAATAACATCCTCTTTGCATGTATCAAAACTTGAGTCACCAAATCCTTAGAAAAAAAACTAAATAATCTTTTCTAAACATACACAAAGCACTGTGAACATTTCCAAGACCAAACCGAACGAGTTCAGTATATCCCATTTGAAGGTGAGGTGTGAGGAAGTGAGATGTATACGGATTTGTCCTTTGTCCTAAAAGAGAGTGGATCGGTTGTTTTAGTAAACCGATGAACATCCTTACCCGTTGTGAGTAAATACATTCAAAGTACTAATCATCCCATTCCTTTCTCCTTCCATCAGAATTAGGCAATTTTGCAGTCAAACCATTTGCTTGTTTAACCATTACAGGATTCTCACCACCAGATTTGACGGGTTTTTCGTCACCCCATTCATCGTCCCAATCTTGATCCCAGTTTTCGACTTCACTATCTTCCAAATCCTGTGACGAAAGAGCTGGTGAATTTCCCATTTCGAGCTCATGGTATGGGACTCTATCAAGGTGCCTGGCCTGTATCCTCGATTTGAAACAAGTCAAAGTTCCTCCAACGATAACTAGTAGGATTACTAAATATGCACCATTTTGTGGGGTTATATAGGTGGTATATGAAGGGTATTTCTGGAAGTGATTTTCTGGTGCTGGAGCTCGAGCTGCAGCACGAATTACACAATCCCCGTCTCTAGTATTCAATGCTATTGCAGAACTTGATTCCACATCTAAAAAAATCTTGATCTGAAACAAGGTAAAACTGTTGATAACTTGAAGAGCGTATATGTGGTTCAAAGGTTAAGTTTTAGGGAGTGTTTGGTTAGGGAGGAAATAATCAATGGGGATGATAATAAAAGCCAGTGTTTTTTATATATAATATAATGGACTCATTACCACAAGTCCAAAATTTCATTCCAGGTAAACTGGAGGAATGAAAATTCATTCTCATTTTCATTCACCGTCCTTTCCATTTCATTCCCCTACGTGAACCAAACAGCCCCTTAGCCTTCATTTAGTGCATCTTTGGCAACCATAAGCTAGCTTATTTTTGAACTTATTGAAAAAGCCTCTTTGGTAAGTCTTAAACTTATAACTTAGCTTTTTGCAAAGCTACTTTTCAACAAGCTCAAATGGTTTTTTTATTTTAGTTTTTTCTTCCCATTATTCCTCTTGCTTTATTATCAAAAACCCATACTTTTAAGTTTGTAATATTACATTGTCATCTAGCTTATCATCTAGTTTTTACCCAACGTCACTGGTTTATCAGTTAGATTTTCAGCCAACAACTAGCTTATCATCTAGTTGGCCAAACACTTTGTATTGAATCAAGAAGTGCTATTTGATATCCTAAATCATGAATATTGGCAGCATATCAATGAGAAGAAACAAACCTTCTCGATTCCGTGGCTTGGTAAATCGATCTCCTTGATCGTGTTGTTAGCAGGAAGGATCATAATTTTCACATGCAGCGGGGCTTCGTGGTTGTTCTGGACAAGGAGGCATCTTTCTTCATGAGGGCCTACACGAAAAGAGTAACTTCACCTATTTAGACCATGTTTGCAGCCATAAGCTAGCTTATTCTTTGAAATTATTGAAAAAGCCCTATTAAGTTAGCCATAAGCAAGTTTTTTTAAACGCTACGTGAAGTAGCATTTCTGTAAGCTCCTAGTGCTTTTTTCAATTATACCCTTCATATTTTTCTTATTAATTTTTCAGTTCTCTTTAAACATTGTTTTCATAACTCGAATTCACTTGAAATATAGAATTAAAGAACATCTTATAAAAGCCTCAAGAGTATACATGTTTGTGCCTGCTTTGCACATTTTATGTGGGGTTTTAATACTCCAATTCACTGGTTGTCCTTCAATGAAAACATGACATTCATGACCAAATGCAAGAATCGACACATCCATACTCAGGACGGCAAAATAGCATCCAAACCCCCATACAACTGTAACATCTAAACTCACATCTGTTAGCTTTGTATCCGTAATGTAGCCTCACCTATCAATGTATACATGGCTTGTATAATAAGCATATTATGTTGTGTGGGTTTATTAACAAGCATTAGAAAATTATGTTTTTAGACTTCTTTCCCATAAAAAGTTCATTGAAGAATTAGAATCTTTATAGCAGATTGTAATTCTTTAATGAACCAATGATAAGGACTACCACTCTTGTGCATCCAACTTCAACACCTTCCCAGCCAATAAATAAAACCAACCATCATACCAGAAGAGATTAGCTATGGTGAGCATGTGCCATTAAGATCTTGCCAACAGAAAATGGTAAGGAAAAGATTGTTTGCTAAATGATAGCAAATGCTTGTATGATAATTGCTATCAACATCGCTATGAATGCTAACCACATACATGTTATCAGTTCCTAATACCTGAAATTTTGATAATAATCAAGAACCTCCTTTGATAGTCTTTATAGAATTAATAGAAGTATCTGTTTAGTAAATTCATCACCCCTATAGCTCTGCCGATTGATTACTGTGACCATCTACGGATGTTAAATGATGGCCTCATCAGGCAACATGATGATCATGGGTCATTCTTCAAGATGATGATGGTATATAGAACATCACAATCACAGAGATGAAAACAAAGCCATTCACCTTAACATTCAGACTTCAACTGCTACCAAATGTTATTCTATTGTACACTCTACTTTCAAACAGGGGCATGTTCAATTGTTCAAATAAGAACGGTAAAGATTTTGAGAACTGGGAACCAACTATTCATACTTCATTCATGATGTCATGATGAAAATTATTCATAATGAATATAAAATCACTACAAAAGTGCATGAAATCATGAATTATTAAAATGCATGTTATTCAGGGTCATTCACCATGAATAGAATAATACATGAAACAGTTGATAATGGTTCTCATTCGAACTCTCGCTTTTTCAAACATCATGCCTCCAATGAAGATTCAAATTCATCAACAAGTAAGATTCAAAAGGGTAAAAGAATTTACCATCTTGAAAATAAGTCAAGCAGGCAGCTATGTTCTTCAGCTGGCAACTTCTAGATGCCCTATTACAATAATGCTGGAAATCTGTTCCACCCGAAGCAAAATCAACCCCATTAGAAGGGCTAGGCGAAGGAGAAGCCTGAAAACCATCAATCAATCGAACTTAAACACCATATTAGGCACCAATCAAAAGCTTGAACATTCGAAACACACATACACACATGTAAATAGGAATTACATCATAATTCAACTACAAAGGAATTATCAGCCCCACACACACACGCACACACATCCATACTCATAAAACACACAAATTGGGTTAAAATTAGAAGACATAAAAAGGAATTACAGAAACCGTACGTTACTCTGTTCATAGAGATGTCTGAAAGAATATAAGGGGGATAACGCATATGATTCTAGAGGCAAAACGATCAAAATTGTGATGATGAGCAAACCCCTACGAATCATTTCGCGCAAACTAACTAGACTATATCTCCACTTCCCTCCTCCGTAATGAAGGTTAGATTCGAATCACCAAAACCATTAAACTCTTCGAGACAAGTAAACGATTGACGATCCCTATGAAAAATGGGATATGGGAATGTATTAAAAACGATGAAGATATAGGGTATAGTCGACGGAGTCATAGAGAAAACGCGTCTGCGAATCAAAATCTTGTTCGATTCCATTCCAAGAATACGACGATTGTGGAAAAGTCTTTCGTAATTTGCAGGATATGGGATTTGGATGTTTCGTTCATTGGACGAATGGACTATGGAGTCGCCATTCGTCAACAAGGGTACCCGTTAACTTTGACCTAAACCAGTTTTTCAATTTCACTATGGTTTAGAATGATTAAAAAAAAAATTATGATTAAAAAAAAATTATGATATAATACAAAATAAAATATAATTGTTTGGTAACTATGTATAATAAAATTATGGTTCTTAATGGTTAAGGGAGATTCATGATACAAAATCATTTAGAGGGTTTAAGAATTGTTAAGAGACATAATTTTTTTTTACCAAACAAGATTCATTTTTTAACGATTTAGTGGTTGTCTCTTAATAGAACTATTAAGAGGTAAACAAATAACCCCTTAAATAATTATAAAATGACTAGGTTCAAATACATTGACTTCGAACTACCTGTAAAACAATTGGTCGTCCTAAAATCAATCTAACACATATAACAAATTGGAAAAAATATATACTTACAGTATTTTGTTTCCAAAATTAAGATCTGTTTTTCAAAAATTACTCATGCTTTATATTTTATTTAAAAGAAATAAATAGTTATAAATTAAAACTTATAATCAAACAATGATATTTAATTGATTTTGTTAAACAATCATTAGATATTGTATAAGTAATTCATTCAATTTATGTTATTTAATATAATTAAAAAAATTGTAATCCAAAAAATTTACCAAATAATTAATTAATTTATGTTATTTAATATGATAGTTTTTGTTATTCATAACAAAAATCTATCTTAATGTATTCAGACAAATTAATGTTTACATACAACTTATACATATATGGCTTAATAGGAAAAGAATTCAAGCAACCCCTCGTTATAGTTTAGAGGGAGACCTTTTGACATCGATTTTACAAGCCTCGGTCTTTCTTCAAACAAGAGATTTGGCCTTGAGTTTGGTTTTATTTATTAAGGAAAAACACTCTACCTTTCGGTGGTCTGTTTGTTTGCTTAACAATCATTTTATAGTAAGATTACTGTTAAGTTGGATCTAAGAATGAGCATAAGATTACCGTTAACTATGATCTAAGAATGAACATAGGATAATCGTATTTCGTTTTTGTTTACCAACAATGAATGTATCATAATCGCACAGATAGCTACTTTTATTTCGTTCGTTGGTAGTTTTAAGAATCATCTTATAATAAGCTGGCTAGCTTAATTGGTATGTAATCCTTGACTTGCTTGGGGTTTTTAATATATACAATTAATATGATAAATACGTTAGTCAAAATAGTTCAACATTATTACATTCCCGTATAACTTTTATGAAAACAATTTCTCGTTGAAAATTTCCTTGTCAAAGAAATTCCAAAACCTTGACCATTACGACATTGTTCGGTTTATTATGGAAGCAACATAAGGTTTTTTATATATATAATATAATGCGACTTTAGAGACGAGTTTTGCACTACGACAGCCCCGCCCTTTAAAGCATTGGTATATCCTACCATTCATGACCCAACTAACCGATATTGATTTTTTTCAAAAGTCAGCACTTGGGATATGTTTGTTAGTAACTCAAGGAGTTTTATGAGACTCACAACTTATTATGTCATGATTGTTTAGTAGTGGGCTTCAATATCTTAAATGACTCAGGGGCCGTTTACCAAGTACTTACCTGGTAAGTGCTTACTGGTAAAATTTAACACTATTATTTACTTATCGGGTAATATTTTAGTCCACCATAATAACATCGTATGCAACAATTTACCCGGTAAGCACTTACTGTGGTAAGAGTCGTTGCCTTCACTTACTCGGTAAGACTATTGGTTTTTGTCTCGTTCTTACCGGTAAGATTCTTGGTTCATACCATATTCATCCGGTAAGGTAGTGTGACTTGGTAAGCGCTTACCCGGGTAAGCGTTTAGTAAACGGCCCCTTATTTGGTAAGCTTTTGGAGGGAAAGCTTTACGCAAAAAGTCAAAAAAAAAATTACTTGCTGATGAAAAAAACGTGCTCGTTTCATCTATGGCCATCCTCTAAAAATATTTTCAATCTATATAAACAAATTGATGCACATAGACAATTTTATCCAAATAAAAAGCCCCTTGTAATTTTCTTTTCATTATATATTTTTTAAATCTTTATGTTGATATTTAATCAAAATCCGGATGAATAATTAAAAATGTTACATATTCATAATATATTTTATGTTTTTTTTAATAAAAAGTGAAAAAAAAATTTTGTTTTTTGGTATGAAAATAAAGCCAAATCAAACGAATAAACCGGCGTGTCCCACCGCGGTCACCACCCCCTTCCAGCACTCAATCGCCTTCTAATCCCCTTCACAATTAACAAAATTAGGGTTAGGGTTTTACAGTTCTGTCATGGCTTCCGAAGAGATCGCTTTAGTCCTATCACACCGTTCCGACAACAACCACCCTCAATTCCTATTCCAAGACGAGTCCAACTTACCGTTCCGATGTAACCCACCGCAGCACCACCAACAGCAGCGCCACACTTCCGGTCATCATCCTGCCGGACATACGACTAACAACAAGACTACCCGTGAGCTTACGGGCTTCATCGAACATCAAAATCGACACTATCAGCCGCAAGCCACAACCGACTTCCGGCGGAGCATATGCGACGCTGCCCCGGCATACCACCGTGGTATCCAGGATTGGGATATCAGAAATGGGCGGGATTCTAGTTCTCCCAGCGGAGATGGATCGGATAGTGATGATGATGGAGATGGAGATGACGACGAGATGGATGATGGGGATGGAGATGGAGATGATCACGTGGTTGGACTTGTAAATAGCAGTAATGATATAAAAAATGCTCGCAAAAGTAATGTTAGTGGGCACAGCAGCTGTGTGAAAAATGGGAATGGGAAAAGGACCCATCTCTCCTCAATTGGTAAGTATTCAAGCAATTATCGTCTCTCTGGATTTCTGTTTTGTTTCTTCTGTTCACGAACCTTAATTTTGATTCTTGTCCAACTTTCTTGTATGATTGAATTTTCTTTGATGTGTGTTAGGTTCCAGTAGTGAAGTGATGAAAGAAGGAATAGTAATTCAAAATCATCAGCAAACACAATTATGCCAGTACCAGAACGCTATTACAGTTGCTGACCCTAATGGTGAATTGTACTACTCTCAGTATCTTCGTGGGGCTGAGGGTTCAGGAGCAGGGCTTAAAGATATGCTGGTTGAAAATGGGTGTGGGTTTAGTGGAAGAAAGGATATTTCTAATTCAGGTGGATCGGGGGAGTCTTTAAGGGCGATACTGTCGGATCCTTTGACGTGAGTTCATGCAAATTCATTTATTTTGTGATGCCATTTTACTAAGATATGCTTCATGAAACATTTAGGGAAATTTCGAAGTCTTTATTGCAAATTTAAGAATTAAATCAACAAAAGTGTTGATTTGAGGGTGATTTGACTAGAAATCATCACCAAGCCTGTGATTTTGTAGGTACCCTTAATATGACTCGCTACAGCAATATCAGCTTAATTGGACAACAAATACCTTTGAATGTACTAATAGACTGTTTCATAGGACTATAAATTAGTTTATAGGTATGCTTTACAAAGGATGTGCAATTGTTTAGTCCTATAAAACAGTTTATTAGGACGTTTAGATATACTTGGCGTCCTATAAAGCCGATTTTGGTGCCGTGACCTAATAGAACAAGTTGTTGATTTGTTGCTGTTATTCTTGATGTATAAAGATTATGTGTTGTTTCATGTTTATGGTTCGATGTTCATACAGAGGAGGTCTGATGGATGATGCTATGATATTGCCTTGTGGGCATTCTTTTGGTAGCGGTGGAATGCAGCATGTTATGAGGATGGTGAGTAGTGTGAAATCTCATTTATTATAATATCACTTATCTGTCCTTGAATAAATACTTTCTGTGTGGATAAAACTTTCTGTTTGGATTAATCTATCTGTATAGATTGGAAAGATTTTTGTTTGGGAGGGTTTTTTCGTAGATGGACGAATTGTATTTTTTAATTGGGAGAGTTTGGAGAAAACTTGGCTACCTGCATAAAGCTGTCCCCTAGAAGCTTATTGAATAAGTCATTTTTATATCGTTAAGCCACTACCAAACAGTTACGTGTAGCTGGCCGAATAAGTTATGAGTCCCATCAAGTCCATTAAGCTACTATCAAGCAGGCCCTTAATGTTATTTGTTCTGTTAGCTTTCTGCTTTGGCCTTTCGCATACGTATCTGGTGTGTATGATAATTGCTAAATGGGTTATGGTCCAACTTATGAGGTCTCATTATTACAATATCAGTCATTACTCCATGAAATAAGTACTGTATGTCGCATGGTAAATCAGCTTTTTGTTTTAGCATCTACATTAGGTGTGTAAGATAATCGGTAAATGGTTAATGATACTGTTTGTTGCCTATGATCATGTGAAAAGAAGGGTCCTATTATTTGCTTGTGCTGTAGATAGCTAAAGATACTGTTTATGCAAAAAAAAGTGTTTCTGATTGTGGATCAAGAATATGTGGCTGACTTTCTTTTTGTACGATCCAGAAAGCCTGCTACACTTGTTCACACATGGTGTCGGAAGGTTCCGTCACTCCAAATCTATGTAAGAAAAGCTTCCCATTTCCGGTAGAGAATTTAAATGCTTTCTTATTGTTATGTTTGCTGGCTTACTTTCATGCCTGTGTTCATTATGGATTTTGATGTACCACTGTTCTGCACAATTACTTCACTACATTCTAGATCCACCCCTGTGGATCCTTTTAGTCTGTGGGTGCGTTTGTTTCAGAGGTATGGATGTAACCCTTCTTTGGAAGCTTCAAAATTATTAACTTTCTCATTTTATGCGTTTTATCTAATGCATATCTACTATAGATAGCGAATAATATGCTTTAAAGTTTAGATAAAAGAACGTGGCCGTATATATCGAACCAAAGCCTGTAACAATAATGTTTTATTTTGGTATTCTCCTTTTTTGGCCATTCTTTACTTCCAGATGTGGTGATGGATGTTGCTTATTTTTAAATCGAGTTTCAGACGCCTCCTTTAATTCCGATCTTGCGAAGACCAACTTAGAACTTTTTTTTTTATCTTGGCCATCGAATGTTTTAACATGAGATCTCAAATGGAGTCGTTATGTAATTTTTGGTCCAGCCTTTGATAATTTTTACATCTATATCTGTCTACTTGTGTAGCTCTGCGATCTGCTGTTCTTGCATTCCGTAGGGAAGAAGAGTTGCAGACTCACCGTGCCTCCAAAAGAAGAAATAGATTAGAGCAGGTTTGTTTTTGTTCCGAGTAGAAAATATTGTTATTCACCAAAACGTTAAATTTCTAGTGTCATAGAGTTCTTATTGGCTCATGCAGGATAAAAGTAATTATGGTGATTCAACACTCATGGACCAATCGAAGGGCAGAGGTGTTCAATTTCCCTTTTTTGTCACTGACCGTGTTATCATCAAGGTTATTAATTATATCTGCTTGCTAGTTTCATTTGATTATGCGCAGGTGCTTGTTACAGTTTCTAACTCTAGAATTTATCAGGGTAATAAGAGGACGCCTCCACGTTTTGTTGGTCGTGAAGCTGTTGTAACAACTCAATGCTTAAACGGGTGGTCCGTCTCTTCCCCAATATCTCTTGATTACATGATTCTTCCATTTTATTGCTCCATTGGACATACGAAAAATTCAAAAACCTGATTTGGTACATGGTTTAATGCCATGTTTGACGACCATAAACTAGCTTATAAGCTGTAAGCCAACTTATTTTTCGAGCTTATTGAGAAAGCCCCGTCCTGTTAGCATAAGTATCTTTTTGAAAAACTACTTCACGTAGCTTTTTAACAAGCTCCCGGTTTTTTCCCACTTTTTTCCAATTATACCCCTTATATTTTTCCAATTAATTTTCAAAATGTCTTTTTAGGTAATTTTATGTTATTATCTTGCTTCTGAGCTATTTTTTTGTAAAACTTGACTAGTTTATCAACTAATTTATTGGGTGACAGCTAGTTTGCCAAATATAGCTTAAGTAAAAGATTTCAATGTAACCTTGTGGAATTAGCTCAACTGACAATAAGACTTGGTTAGGTTCGAGTTCTGCAAGGCCACTGAGGATTTTCCTGGCTCCTGCCTGTTGGGGTTAGTCGAGGTTTGCGTAAGCTGGCCCGGACACCCACGGTTAACAAAAAAAAAGTAAAAAAGATTTCAACGTGTCACGTATTTAAAGTATAATTCAATAGAGTCAAACCTAGAACCCTGTGTGTTTTCAAATCAATGCATTAGTGTATATCCATCTATAATGATAACGATAACGGTATGTTTTCTTTACGGGTGGACACAGGTACGTGGTGAAGACATTGGATAACGCGGAGAGTGTTAAATTGCAGTATCGGTCTCTAGCCAAGGTAGAAGATGCTCGGCCCTTAGAGGTCGGTTCGAGTAAGATGACACCACCCAATTGGCTCTAACAACCCTAACTCACAATGGGTACATGTGGTTGGTTATCAGTCCTTTTTAGGTGTAAATATACAGAGTCATGTAGATGTGGTATGGGATGAAAAAGATGAAATTGGCAGAGGTAAAATTGATGGTTTGAAGGCATTTTGCCTTTTCTAGTTTAAACAAGTATATAATTTTTCTTTGTTATCGTAATGCATACATAAGTTTTCTCTTCTGCAAATCATTTGTCATCTCTTTTCTGAAATATCTGGATTCAAACAACATCTAAACACTGTGAAGATATTGGTGCTACCTAAGTCACATCAAAGGTCGTGCACATCTATGACATAGGGCTTGTTTTTTTCTTCAAAATTACCTCTTAATACCTCCGAAGTCTGATTCGTTCAGACGTTTGGATATTAGGAGCGTTAGTTTTATTTCTAAAACAAGAGCTTAAAAGCTCGAAATGTCCAATGAAATTTTAAGTGGTAAACATATTTCTTAATACCTTTTAATCATAATTTGTTTTCTATCAAATGGTTCATATTTTGAGAGCTGGAAGGGATTTGTTGGAAAAAACTATATATTCTTTATACTTTGTAAAAAAACTATCTATCTTTTATAATTTTCAACTAGTTTGACTGATTCAAATTTCAGGATTCAGACGTAAAAACGAATAATCTTATTGATCCGGATTTCAGACTTCAGGAAATCTCTTATAAATCAGAAGTAAAATCAGATTTCAGCACCTCTTAAAAAAACAAGCACCATTCTAGTATCAAATGTAATAGCAATTTCAATAATTGTTGGGGGATATTTTAACCACTAGATAGTTAGCATTATAATTCAAATCCAAGGAGGAATAAAAATTCTCTTGTGGCCACGGGGTTCAAATACGGTGGCTCTGGGCTATCTGCAAAACAAGTGGTCGCCTTGAGATTAGTCAACTCGCATAGCGAGTTGGATATCCAAGTTAATAAAAAAAAAATCAAAAATGAACTTAAATACAAATTTCATATTTAACCAACCAAATTATGTTTATTACAATAAACCCCCATCTAATTTGAACAATGTGTTTATTTACACCTAAAACTGTACTTCAAATTAACGTCTACCGATACCATGTTTGATCGGATTTCACTATACCAGCCAACAACTATTCAACTGCGAGGATGCACTTTCCCTGAAACTCTTAATCTTCATCAAGCAATAATGGCTACAACCAAACCCTATTCCTCCGCCATTAACGCTGCTTGTTTTCAACAAATAACATGCCGACTTACAGTGATCTCTTCCTTTGATTTTACCTTGAATCAGTACTCCAAATGCCTTAGTTCCGCCACTTTCCTTGAATTCACGGCTGGATTCGTCATCTTTGTTTTCCCCAAGCTCTTCCACAAGTATGATTCCGTCCGGTGAAGACGATCTCTCTGTAATCACGTTTGGCCAGCTTTTACCCTTCACCGCCTTCTCCGTCTTCACCTCGCCGTTGGCGTAGATTTGTAGCAACAAAGGCGCTTGTCTTATATTCTTGACGATCTCTGTTAATGATCCTCGAATCCATTCCTCGAGCTTGTCCGGAACATTAGGGCTGTCGATAGTAGAATCATAAAACTCGTTATCATCGTTTACGATTCTGTCCGCCAGCAATAGATCGGTATCGATAGAAGAGGAAACCAGATTAGAAACTGGACGATCATAAACAACCGTTGCCGCTGCACAGATTCTGGTAGAATGATTTCTAACGACGAGTTTGGCGGTTGAGAGAGAATGAAGGCGGTTGGATCCAGAAATCCCATCCGATCGATCATCAAGAAAACTCGAAGTAGACTGAGTAAGTAGGTAACGAGGAACTAAACATGTCATCGTTTACGGCCGTCGACGGCGTGGAAGTTCAATTCCGGAGGCGGAAGCTCCGGTCCTTTCTCCTCGGAGATGTGTTGCTTGCACGTAGAGTAGAGTGAACCAGGAGAGAAGTTATCAGATGTGGGAGAGATTAGGGTGGAATTTATAGTAACTGGTCGTCATCGAATAAATCACCTTCTATTGAAATTTGGCAACCAATGGGAATCCTCTTCCTAAATGGACGGTGGGATTTGCACGAATTTTATTATCAAAATTCTGAAAAATTACAAAAGAAAAATAACACTGTTGATTTTTTTTTATTAACCTGAATATCTAACCCGCGATGCGAGCCGACTAATCCTAGGACGTCCACTTGATTTGCGTATAGCCCGGAATCACCGCATTTGAACCTCCGTGGCTACAAGAGGATTTTTATTCCTCATTGGATTTGAACTTAGGACCTCCTGACACTTTTAATCTTTAAAGTCCAAACTCAAACCAATCAGACACTACCATTATGGTTCACCGATGATTAATTTTTCACATCTTGTGAGTAAATATCCACCAAAAGGACGATTTTAAAATATAACGACAAAATTACAAAATGTTGTGGATAAAATAATTAAATGGATGACAAAAAGTGGTCTGCCCTTTTCCATATAACACATACGACAATACATCAATAGCATCTCCATCACCTAGTTTATAACTTTTTGATAAATTGTATTAAAAAATAACGTACTTTAATTTGATTTTTATTTTGGGTAATATGCTTTTAAAACTTTTTTTTAATACCTAAAATGTAAAGTTTTAAACATTTAAATATCCAGGTAACTGGTTGAGACATTGACCAATTACCATTCTAATGTAGCGAGTGATGGATGAAATTGGATTGAATAGCAAATAATACTGAGTTGGATCTCATATCACTCGTTACATCTGTATGGTAACCAGTTAATGCTTAAATCAATAACCCGGGGTACTTAAATGTAAAACTTTATAGGTACCAAAATAAAATTTTTGAAAAACATGTTATCCGAATTGGAATCAAGTTAAAGTACGTTCCTTTTTTAATGCAATTTGCCTTAACTTTTTTGATGCAATGCTTTCCATATTCTAAGTTTGCTTTCTCCGTAAAGTAAAATTATGACTCTAAAGTCTTAAATATCAGTTATATTCACTTTTGTTTTGGTTTTCTGTATTAATTCCAATTGAAAACATATAGTTATTTATCGACAAGCTGATTGATTTGATCGATTTATTATGTACTCGACATTTGTACTTGTATCGTTGCTTATTTTATGTTTAATTTATCGATTATGGATTTGTACACTTTGTTTTTGTCTGTTGTACTTTGACTCATTTTATTTCACTCGTTATCAATTCCTTTTTAAACCGCAATTAATGAGTGAAAATCAGATTAAAAGTGATTGGTTCAAATATTTTTTTACACTTCTCACAAGTTATTTCGCCGTTGGTTGTATAATTAGTACATTTTTTATTAACAAAAAGACAATTTCACCCTTAATAACCAAGAGAGAACTTTTCTCTATCTCATAATTAAAGATAGAATCGGAAAGTGAACACTTAAGGGATGTTTACTAAACGCTTACCCGATAGGTGCTTACCGGGTCACTTTACCTTATCGAATGAAAATGAAAAAGATTCAGAATCTTACTCGGAAAGGGCAATAACAAGGACCGAGAGTATTACCTGGAAAGTGAGTGAAAACTTTTATCCGATAAAACAAAGTATTTATACCCAATTTTTACTCGAGCGTACCTGTTATCGCTCGAGTAAAAAGTGAGAGTGACAACTATTATTTGAGAATATTACCCAGAAAGTGAGAGCGATAACAAGGACCGAAAATTTTCGCTTGAGAGTATTATCCAATTTTTACTCGAGCGACAACAACGACCTTATTTTTAGATATATGACAATTATCCGATTTATACCCTATCCAATCCCAAATTTACGATTACATAAAGTATTAAAAAACTATATTTAAAATAAATATCTTTTAAACTTCTTTTTAGAAGATAGGGTTGTTTTGTACGGTAACCATAGAGGATATGGAATCTAACTTGAAATAAAACGATTGAAGATGACGGATGACAATTGGACGCCATGGTCGTCTGCATGTGCATGGCGCGTGTTCAGTAACGGTCTACGTAAGACTGGCTTACGTGTGCGTGTGCCGCCATTCACCTTTTATGCTTTTTTACACACCTGGCATATCCTACGTGGATATTTTCTGATTTTATCTTTCATTTCCCTTCTCTTTTATTTCGTAATGGGCCAGTGGGCCGCATGCAACATTGTGTGTTTATTGTTTTGTGATCTTTCTTTTGAACTTTGAAGGAATATTGTTTTGTGATCTAAAAGACTAAAAATGACAATTTAGAGTTTAGACTTTCCTATTTTTATAGCCCAATACTTAAGGCCCATATTCTGGCCCAATATTTAAGGCCCATAATTTGGCCCAATATTATCAAACCCACCCAACCCAAGTAAACTTACCGGTAATTGGCCCGAATTATCAGACAAGATCTAGAAACTCTCCTGCTGCTGCATCCTGACAAGCAAAGAACTGATAAAACAAACAAACAGGATTTCGTGGAGAGAAAAGTGAAGACTATAATTGACTGGTAGAAATGCAAGATCCATCCAATCCAGATCCTAAGCCGCAAAATGCGGCGTCGTTTCCGTTTTTGCCATCTCATAATCGGCGAGCACACTCCGAGGTGAATTTCCGGCTACCGGACGACCTAGATCTGGCATCAGACCCATACGATGCACCGTCTGGAAGCTTCGAAGAGATGTCATCTGAGGAGGATCTGTTTCTACTTATATGGACATTGAAAAGCTCGGATCCAACTTGAACGACGCCGGCGTACTGGATAACGGTCGGATCAACAATACTGGTGGCGGAGGTGGACGGTGGACCTTCGGAGGATAATTATGGTCGAGTTGGTGATGGAGAAAATACCAGCTCTAGACCTCAACATCGGCATAGCAATTCTGTGGATAGTTCGAGTTTTTTGAGTGAAAGTATTGAAGCGAAGAAGGCAATGGATCCTGATAAGCTTTGCAATTCTGTCGAGATTTAGTAGAACTGCATTTCTAATTTTTATATTAGTTGGCTGCGACATTAACAGATTGAATGAGTAAGGGCTGCTTACAAAACACTTGTTCGATTAAGCGTTTACCAAGTAATATTATTTTACCAGAAGAATATGACAAGAACCACGAATCTTATCCGGTAAGAGCGAAGACAAAGACCGAGAGATTTGTCTCGTAGGTGAGGACGACGACTTTTACCACAATAAACGCTTACCGGATGAATTGTTGCATACAAT